TAGCCCAGGCTCACCTCGAACTCACAGAGATCCGCCTGGCTCTGCCTCCTGAGTGCTGGGATTAAAGGCGTGCGCCACCACTGCCCTACCGAGTTTTTTTTTTTTTTTTTTTTTTAAATTGTGTGTGTATCCACGTGAACTTTGTGCAGATACCCTTGGAAGCCAGATAAGGGTAACCATTCCTCTGGAGCTGAAGTTACAGGAAGCTGTGAGCTGCCTGGCATAGATGCTGGAAATCCAGCCCAGGTTTTCTACAAGAGCAGTGTGTGCAATTCATTGATGACCCACACCTCTCTAGCCCTGAAAGATAGCCTTGGTGTTTACTATATGCCTTGCACCACTCTAGGCACTGAGGATAAGTCCATGAACAAAGCAGAACTTGCTTTTATGAAATTTGCATTTCCCAATGGGGGAGGGTAGTAAACATTAAATAAATAAGATTATGTGGGGAATGGGACAGGGAAGGGGAAGGAGAGTGCCCCAATTAGGAGATGTTGACTTTTAAAATGGGGTGACCTCAGAGGCTGAGGATCTTGGGCTAACTCTTATTTTTTTGTTTTTGTTTTGTTTTTTTGGGGGGACAAGGTTTCTCTGTGTAGCTTTGGAACCTTCCTGGAACTCACTCTGTAGCCCAGGCTGGCCTTGAACTCACAGAGATCCGCTTGCCTCTGTCTCCCAAGTGTTGGGCCTAAAGGCGTGCGCCACCACTGTCTTGGGCTCATTCTTTACCACATAGGAGGCAAAGTTCCTGAGGGAATTCTCTTCCGGGCTGTACCCACTCTGCCTTGCTCACACCAGTGTCTCGATAGTAGCTGTATTTTTACCCTCACTTCTCAAATGATTCAAGTGCTGGGTAAGATTTGCCAGCCCCTGCTTGCTAGGGATTCTCTTTGCCCAGGGTAAGTACCATTCACCCTTTGTTTTCTCCAAGTTGGGGAAAAGTGGGCGGGAGCTTACAAGAAATTGAAAAATCCAAGCATTAATCCCTTCTTGCATAACTGGTACCCAGGAAGAAGGAACAAGGGAAGAGCTGATGCCTATATCGAAGCTGCCTGAGGTTTTTGGCAATGGTTGTTGCCACCAGATTAAAATCTAACAAAATATTCTTGCTGAGAAGCAAGTGAGGATCTCAGGAGAAATCTCTAAAGGTCGCTCCAAGGGAGGAACCTGAGGTCAAGCAAAACCAGGGTGAGAAATGAAGTCCTCTGACTCCCAGGCCTCCAATTGCGTCATTGAGATATGAAAATGTTTGGTCTTCCTCAGTAAACGTGGGAAGTGAGTCTTTGTGCTGGGTGTCACATGCTGGGTGCTTCAGTAATGTTTGTCATGCAGCTTTCTGGACAGGCCTCCCATTTTCCCCGTTCGAACCCAGAGCCATCCACATTCCATTTTCTGTGGGTCCTGGTGACCAGTGACGAGAATTGGGCAGAGATGTTGACTTAGGGATCTTATGCGGAATATGAGTCAGTGAAGACTCAACCTGACTAACCCCTAGGCTGGGAATCCGAGGGATATCCCCTTCTGCAGGCCTAGGAGGGTGGTTGGCAGCCATTGTGTGCTAGAAAAAAATACTTCAGTAACATGTGGCATTACAAGGGTTGGCCCAACACTTAGTACTGGCGTTGTTTTCTCCAAGCTATCTCTCTTGCTGAGTAGAGGAGCTATTGTCAGATTACATAAGACCCCTAATGTTATATCTTCTTTTCTTCTTCTTTTGAAAAAGGGTCGCACAAGTTGCCAAGGCTGGACTCAAACTTCTAGGCACACATGATCCACCTGAGTAGCAGTGACATGACCCCTGTCACCGTGCTTGGCTATATTTATACTTTTGAAAGTGATTAGTACTCGAGGATTGGATATTTTAATCTGGCCTCTAAATAAGCTTTGTTTTCAAACACGGAGTTTCATGTAACCCAGTCCCACCTCCCAAACTCACTATGTAGCTGAGGATGACATCGAACTCCCGATTTTCCTGCCTCTAACTCCCAAGTGCTGGAATTACAGGCATGCATAAACGTGTGACTGCTTTCAATAAACTTCTTGAACTTCAGAACTCACATAGTACGCATTTTTGCAAGTCATTGTCAACTTCGTAAACTATTTATTACATTAGTGTTCACCTGTCAAATGGAAATAATACCACGCTTCCTGCGCTCCGCGGTGGTTGATACACCCTTCGCTTGAGCAGTAATTCGAAGGTCTTTGTACATTGCGAATAATCACCAACAGCGGCGCTTGCACTCACTCATAAACGTTATTTCATCAGATCTACACATGTAGTCAGTCCCCAAAGGTAACCTCGCCGGAGCAGCCGGAGAGGATTTTGCTATCTGGAGATTTGTTTTGTTTTTTCCCGAAGTCAAGCAAAGTTGGCTTAGGAAAGATCTGATTTAAACTAGAAGGTGACACTCAGCACCCGGGAACTGTGAGGCGGACTCTTTAAATGCTGGGGTGGAAGGGCGGGGTCGTTGTTAGGGACGCGGCGGAGACGTCTGTTTCCAGGAAGTGACATCAGCGGCCGCGGAGATGGACGATTTACTGGACCTGGGCGAGGAGAGACGTCGCAGCTCGGCTACCTCCGTGAGGAGCGATGCTGGGGGCTGGGGGCTGGTTGAACGGGTGGGACAAGTGCCCCCGACTCACCAAGAAGCCCGGAGTCGGGACAGACCCTGGCTCAGCCGCCCGAGTGCGAATCCCGGCTTAACGGAGGGTCTGCGCCCAGAGCCGCTCCCGCCCTCGCCCGGGAGTCTAGTCCCCGGAAGTTCTCCGGAAAGCTGCTGGGAAGAGAGGTGGCTGGGGATGTTCTTTCCTTCCTATAACTCCCCTCCCCAGGATTGGACATCGATACTCCAGTTTATTACGTGGTGGGGGGGGGAGTAACAACGGGGTAAACAAACAAACAAACCTGTTGATGGGCCCGAATACACCTAGCCCCGGCTTCCTTGCTGGTAGGATGGAGGAGGCGTTGCTGTGCAGGTGAAATGGGGTATTCCTGGAAAGCATTTACCACATCGCCTGACCTTCACTTCTGGTCTCCCCCAGGCCATGGCCATCGTATAGCCAGTAGACAGTAGAGCTTGGTTAGATACCTACATTCAGTGTTTTCTGTCAAAGTCGTTACCTACCCCACCCCCCACCCCCCAGGTCTTGATAGCCTTTAGAGTTAGTTGAGATCACTAAAAGATGGGTCACTTGGCAAGTCCTTGGTTTCTGCTGTAAAATCTCAGGTGTCTTGAGGGGCCCTGGTAGCATCTGATGCTCTCCCAGGTGCTTAGGCATCTGTTGGAGGGAGATAATAGAGGGCAGGAGCCAGTTGGTTGAGAATGGAGCAGGTTTTTTTTTTTGTGTGTGTGTGTGTGTGTGTGTTTTTTTTTTTTGTTTGTTTGTTTTTAAAGCTAAGGACAATGGGCCACCAGGTCTTTCTGATACATGAAACTTTTTAGTACCTGGGATGTGAATGTAGTGATTTATTCATTCCTTCCACAAATATGTATTGAGCCCTGCTGTGTATCAGACTTTGTTCTAGGCAGAGAACAGAATGTCACTGACCTTTGCCCTGGGGGGTCGGGGAGAAGGACAGTAAACAGGCTACCCTTAAAAGACAGGACCTCAGGTTGTAAAGTGGTTTCCTGTGTTGTCAATTTACGGGGTCTTCCAATGGTCTCCAACTTTAACAGTTGTTAGAGACACCACTTGTCAACAGCCTTTGCAGGCGCGATCATTCATTTTTGTTCTAAGGTAGCCGCCGCTGTAGGATCAGATATGTTATACTTGGGTGCGCAGAAGAGGGTCCCTTCGACAGAGGAGGGTACCTTCCTCGAGAAGGAAATGAGCTGTATTGTCAGAAAGATCGTCCGCACCATCCTTGAAAGATGGACAGGATTGATAATTGCAATCTGGCGCTCAGATCCTCCGCTGGCGGTTTTTATGCAGCGCTCCTAAAACCCTTTTCTTCCTTCTTGGAACACTTAGCACCGAGTTTCAGTAGGGTGCCATGGGATGAACCCAGGATTCCAAGTCGCAAGAAGACATTGCTACTTAATCACTTTTTTAGGCCTCGGCTTCCCCTTTTATAAAATGGCATCAGCATCAGTCTTTGTGCTCTTGGGAGACCTAAAAATGCTGATGCCATGCTGGGTTGTTTTTTTTATAAGTAAATGATCGCACACCGATATTCTTCAACGCCCATTAGAGTGCCTCAGAGTTTTGTGTGTGTGTCCCGGGGAACGTTGGAGACAGAGCCCCTGCCCACTGGGAGGACTCGGGGAACACCTGCAAATGTTTCATCTGGTGACTCAGAATCTTGAGGTGCTCTGGTTTCCAAAAGGGATGTCTCAGCATTCCTGTCCCCTGTCCCTCCCCCCCCCCCGAAACCCCCACCTTGTACTTGTAGATGCAGATCCAGCCAGCAGAGCCAGAGGTCTCTCTGGAGTCCTCTGGTGTCAGTTGCCATGAAATTGAGGAAGTCACTCCGAAAGCCTGCCTGGTAGCTGTCACTCAAGGCCTACCTAGGAAGGTGGGAGCCTTTACTGCCTCCCCTGGGCTGTGGCTTGAGGCTTCTGCCCAGGCTAGCTGCGGTTCCAACTGCGTGTGGTGGCCAGAATAGTGGCTGCTTTTGCTCTGATGGTGGCTTTTGAAAACTCTCGCCATCAAGACCCTGTATGTTTCCCATTCTGCCGAACAGAATGGACTTGGGTACTTTCTCTTCAGGATTTAGAGCATTCTCTATGAGTATGTACAAGTTACTCAAATCCTGTTCTCTGTGTCATGCCATAAAACCCCAGTTCTGGCTTACCACGAGGTCGTACCCACAGGGCCTCAAATGACATCCGATCATCTGCGCTCTCGTCTCTCCTCGCAGGGAGCCAAGATGGGCCGCCGCGCCCAACAGGAGTCACCTCAGGCCGAGAGTTACTTCAGCAGCAAGAATTCTTCATTGACGCAGACTGAAGAGGTGAGTGTCACAAAGACAGAAGTCAACAGGAAGATGTGGAGCAATGCCCTGGGAGAATGACGGAACCCGTAATGAGCAGGGCTCTGGAACTCGGTATTTCTGTGGAATGCCAGCCACTCCACATGTCTTGATTTGGAAGTTCCTTTCTAGGACATTTGTCCTACTGGGGACATCTTTTCTTTGAGACCTTTGGATTCTGGACTGTTTCCCCCTCCCCCCCCCCAAATTTATTTTGTTTGTTTGTTTTTGTTTTTTAAGACAAGGTTTCTTTGTGTAGCACTGGCTGTTCGGGAACTCGCTCTGTAGACCAGGCTGGCCTCAAACTCACAGAGATCCACCTGCCTTTGCCTCCCGAGTGCTGGGTTTAAAGGTATGTGCTACCATACCCAGCTTGCTTTTATTTATTTATTTGTTTGTTTGTTTATGTGTGTGTGTATGTATGTATGTATTGTTTTTCAAGACAGGGTTTCTCTGTGTAACAGTTCTGGCTGTCCTGGAACTCACTTTGTAGACCAGGCTGACCTTGAACTCACTGAGATTCGGCCTGTCTCTGACACCCAAGTACTAGGATTAAAGGTTTGTGCTACCACTGCCTGGCTTTTTTTTTTTTTTTTAAAGACAGGGTCTCAAGTAGGCCAGGCTGGTATGGAACTCACTGTGTAGCTGAGGTTGACCTTGAACTACTGATTCTCCCTCCTCCGCCTCCTGAAAGCTGGGATTCCAGGCAGGAACTGCCTGCCCCGCCCTGTTGTTACAGGTACTAGGTCCAGGATTTCATGTGTGCCAGGCAAGCGCTCCACAGACTGAGCACATCCCCAGCCCTGGAGGCATCCCTCTGAAGTCAGGGACTGGGAAGCTTCCCAAGGCAGACCCTGTCCACGTTTTTTATTTCCACTGAATGAACACCAGGAAGGTGCTTTGGCGCTGTGAAGTTGAATCACAACAACTGGGGGTTTGCTGCCGGTAGCAACCTCTGTCTCCTAGAGTCTCAGGCAGGAAGGGGACTGGAAACTTTTCCAGTCGGCCTTGACCTTTAAGGAATGATCCAGCTCCTTTGTGAAGGGTGGGAAATCCACGAGCAGTACTCTCGAATACCAGGGTTCACTCAGCCCCCTTCCCTTGGATAGTCTTTGCCTTCCAGTGCCTCCCTGACCTCTGTAGGCTGTCTTCCCAGGACTGCCTTCGCCTGCTTTTGCCGTGCCCGCCCCGGGGCAGGCCGGCTCGTTTGCTGATTGTAGTTTTCCTCGCCTCTCCGCTCCACCAGAAAGTGAGTCACCAGACTGGTGCGAAGCCTGGCTTCTTGGCGGCCGTTCAACTCAGCAGCTCACGGGGGGCTGAGGGGTCCTGCGCCGAGACGCCTGGCAGACCACGTAGGTGTGCGTAATCCAGACACACCGACCTTGCAGATCTCACGAGCGGAGAGGTGTTTCCCTGCATCTGAAGTGACGTCACCAGGGTCTTAACGCTCTTGATGTGGTCCTGGCTGCGTATCTTTCATGTTCCCACTTACTGTAAAAGTGTATGAGGAATTCTTACTGTAACCGTGATGCCAGCGTGTAAAACCTGGCAGCTGACTCTTCCCTCACCAGCAGAAGACCCTAGGGAGGGTATAGGGGCCTGCAGGTCATATGACCACCCTAAAGGGATAACTGGTACCTCTTCAAAGCTGGTTGAGGCTGTCAGGATATATATAGATCAGCACTGCCTGTTCTTCTGATCGTCTAAGAAATGCTGGCGGTGCCGGGCGGTGGTGGCGCACGCCTTTAATCCCAGCACTCAGGAGGCAGAGGCAGGCGGATCTCTGTGAGTTCAAGGCCAGCCTGGGCTACCAAGTGAGTTCCAGGAAAGGCGCAAAGCTACACAGAGAAACCCTGTCTCGAAAAACCAAAAAAAAAAAAAAAAAGAAACGCGCGCGCTAGAGTTGTGTGTGTGTGTGTGTGTGTGTGTGTGTGTGTGTGTGTGTGTGTATACACTGCACACCTGTTGCTGACTCTGGTCCTCAGCATCTTCCTTGGAGGTCGTTATGCAAAGTCATTCTGTCCCTCATCTCTCTGGTGCCCAGCAGGATTCCAGAATGCCTCCCTCCCCTTCCTGAGGTAGTGAGTGGGGTTTGAAGCAGCGCGTGGGCAGCCTCCCACAGGACCGTATACTCACTGGGCTGTGTGAGACTCTTTGGCTGTTTCTTTCTAAAATTAGATCCAGGATTTGTGCCCATTTACACCCAGTTCTGAGCATCACTACTCGGTGTGTTTATTTTTATCCCCTCGCTGACTTTATTTAGTGGCGATATCCCTAAAAAAAAAAAAAAAAGAAAAATGTAAGCATGGTACCTGGGAACTGTCAGGCGGACTGGCGTTACTTTAGAGTCAAGTAGGAGTTAGTTTTGAATAAATAGTTATTTTAAAGTGAGGCGGTGGAATTGGGACGTGGAGAAGGAATCGGAGGGACTTGGAGCTTGCCACTGGCTCTTCTAATTGCTTGGCTCTTAAATCCAGTAATCTCTGGAATCCTCCATCTCGTCATTTGTCAAAGGGTGATCCCAGCACCGTTGGATGAATGCGGGGATCAAGTGAGCTCTGCATTTAAGCACTCTGGTAAACTAAAAAGCCCTGTATAAGCCCCCGCTCATTCAGCACATCAGTGAGTGAATGAGTCTCTGCACTCCGCCGTTCCCGGGGAAGGGCTGCCTGAAGGAGGGCGGTTAGGGCCCGGTGTGGTGGCACACACTGTAATCCAGGCCCTGGGCCTGGTGAGTCGGTTCTCTCCTTCCACCGGAGGTTCGGAGATTGAACCCAGGTCACCAGGCCTGCCCAGCAAGCCCTCTATCCACCAAGGAGGCTTCTCCAGCCTGCAGCCACGCAGTGTTCAGCTTCTACAGTTAGACTTTTTTTTTTTAAAAAAAAAAATGGTCAATAGTTACGAAATTGAGAAACCTGACGTGAAAAACCCAGATCTGGGGTTTCCCTCGGAAATCAGAGCTCTTCCCCGTGAGACCCGTGGGCTGGCGTTTCCGTATGGCAGCAAGGCGAGGTCACTGGTGCCACATCCTTGCGGGTGACTAGGCCTCCCCAGTTCACTGCTTTCCACCTGCCTGTCTTTATTCGTAGTGCTCGGGGTGGAACCCAAGGCCTTGCCCATGTTAGACACGTGCCTTACCCCCAGCTCTGCCTGCCTGCCTGCCTTCCTTCCTTCCTTCCTTCCTTCCTTCCTTCCTTCCTTCCTTCCTTCCTTCCTTCCTTCCTTCCTTCCTTCCT